GGTGTACTTTCTATAGTCCAGGTGTACTTTCTATAGTTCGGTTGTACTTTCTATAGTCCAGGTGTACTTTCTATAGTCCAGGTGTACTTTCTATGTCCAGGTATACTTTCTATGTCCAGGTGTACTTTCTATAGTCCAGGTGTACTTTCTATAGTCCGTTTGTACTTTCTATAGTCCAGGTGTACTTTCTATAGTCCAAGTGTACTTCCTATGTCCAGGTGTACTTTCTATAGTCCAGGTGTACTTTTTATGTCCAGGTGTACTTTCTATAGTCCAGGTGTACTTTCTATAGGAGGAAAGACAAAAAACATGTTGAGATAGAAATAATGACAAACAGGTAGTGTAGAGCAAGTAAAGACAGAGAGGACATGTGGTCAATTTGTCCTCTAGTAGTCTAAGTCTATAGCAGCGTAACAAGCCAACCCTAACTATAGGATTTATCAAAAAGTCTTAAACTGGACAATGTGTCAGCCTCACGGACAGAAACTGGAAGTTGGTTCCACAAGAGAGGAGCCTGACAACTGAAAGCTGTGCATGGAGACTGTCAGATATTTATTCTGATTTATTTGCACAATAAAAAAAAAATCTTTGGGTGTTTTATTGCTTCTTTGTTGAAAGCTAGAGCAAAACATTTTGGTTTCACTTTGTTTTCTGTAGGTGGATCCAGATCATAGTGAAGATGAGTCGTGAGTTTAATCAACATCAACATCATTTTTGAGGGAAAGTCTTTAAAATGAGTTTTAATGATTAACGTATCAAAATAAAGCTGTCTACCTGTCCTCTTCTCCTTCTTATGTCCGTGTTTGTCCTGGTTCAGGTCACCTGTAACTGGTCTGGAGACGGCTCTGGAGGAATGTTGGGTTGCCCTCCATCTTTTCCTGAACAACAGGTTTGCAGATGCTTTGGCTGCTTTGAGACCTCGGTGAGTCACTGAAGACCTGAAAGACCTCCTGGAATCAGTCGCCTGGAATCAGTCGCCTGGAATCACCTTGAACTTGTTGCTGTAGTTTGTGAGACAGTGTCAGACTAGAAGTGCATCATCAACAAACTGAGTGATCCACTATGTGTTTGTAACTGTTCATCAGATTCTAATTAATGATTCTTTAATTTCACCCCTGGATTAATAAAGCACCATCCATCCATCCATCCATCCATCTATCCATTTATCCATCCATCTATCTATCCATTTATCCATCCATCCATCTATCATCC